ACACACACACACACACACACACACACACACACACACACACACACACATTTCCTCCATAGGGAGAATCTGATGAACACCATTCCATGGATAAATCACATCACCATCATTGTTATCCCTTACCATCTACTGGCCACTTAGAATGCACCAGGTGCTATTCTATGTGCTTCATGTGTATTAACAGTTCTCACAACTACTCTGTAAGGAGTGCTCTGTGTTTATCCTGGCTTTGCAGTGAGGAAACTGAGGCACAGAGAGGCAAGCCCCACACAGCTAGTGAGGGCTGAAGCCAAGCCGTGGACTGGGCAGTTGGCCTCCAGTCCCTGCCCAAGCTGCCTCTCATCCTGCAGAGCACTCAGTGTGTACCTGTGGGTGTGGTGGTTTCTGGAAGAGAATGACTCCTTTCCCACCCAGAGCCAAGCTCATCCAAGCAATGCAGCCCACCTACAGCCCACCCACAGCCCACCCAGAAGTCACTGTGGGAGGCCTGGCCTACCGTTGGACAAAAGAGAGCCTAGATCAGATTGAACCCGTTCCTAATGCCTCCTCCTCACCTCAGTGAAGCAATTCACATCTGGTGGGGAAGGAAGACGTCTAGACAGCCCACTTAGGGCAGCGCTCCCCCAACCCAGCCTCCTCACTGAGGCACAGTCATTGGAGAAGCTTGGACTTCACATCCCCTCCCTGCCTCCCTCTTCTTGTGTGTCCTGCTTGTAAGGTATGGAGCCCCTGCTGTGAGCTGAGGCCTATACTGAATGAGGGCCTGCCTGCGAGGTGCATGCAGCCCCTCTTCCCATTGGCCACGGCATCTTCCAGGAGGTGGCAACCCAGCCAGGCCCACACCGCAATCAGGAATGTTTACTCCTATACCCTCCTGGGCCATCTTGTAAGTCGCCAGGGTTGGGTGCCACGGACACTTCGTTCCCCTTGCCTCACTCACAGCCCCTCCTGCCCGGTGGGTGCTTCCAGTCCATCTGAACTGCATGCAGACCACTTGGCCCTGCTCTCAGGACCTGGAGCTTGCTGAGAATTGGCCCCAGACCCTCAGGAAGGCCATGGAAGCCCAGCTCTGCCGTGTTTCAGGGCTATAGGAGTACCTGAGAGCTGGGCAGCCCCACACTGGCTGATGCGCTGCCGTGACACCTCAGTCTCTGAGGCTGTGGCAAGGGCTCCTGAAGGGGAATTGACCCAGGGCAATCCTAGCCCCTTGCAATGTTTAGCCACAGTCAAAGATGGCAAGGCCTGGGGGCAGGGATGAGAAGAGGGGATATTTTAGGGGGTTAAGTCTGAAATCACAAACAGGCTGTTTAAGTGAAATACACCTGAGCTTGACTCCTGGTGGTTTCATTTCTAGCTCTGGGACTTTGGGCAAGTTCATTCTCACACACTGGACCTCCATCTCCTCATTTGTAACAGGGAGGTGATTAAAAGCAGATCAAAATAAAACAAGCCGACCTATGTGAAGGGCCCAACCAGTGCCTGGCACACACCAGGGGCTCCAAAAATATTAGTTTTCTTTCTAATCAACCACTTTTTCTCCTCAGTAGTTGAAGAAGGAAAGTCCTTGCTTAAAGGGGGGATGATGCTGCCTCTCTGGATTTCCTCATTTGATGATCACCTGGGATCCCTTATGCCCATGTATCCAGTCTCATTTTTCACTCTTAACTGGATTTCTCAGACTTATTTTCACTTGTCAAAAGGCTTTTCCACCATCAAATCCTCTGTGCCAGACAGCAGCCAGACATCCCCCACAGTGCCCCCTGCTGCCATCCCAGTCCCAGGCACAGGCAGGAAACCCAGATGTGCACACCCAGGCTGGGTCTCCCATAAGGAAGTCATCAGGTTAAATGGCTGAGGCTGTCCATCCAGGCAGCCTGACTTGTCAGTCTGAGTTTGCAGCAGACTCTTAGTCTGCCCTCCAGCACCCAGCTCCATCCCCTGCAATCCATACTGCAGCTTCAGCTCATTGCTTTCTAATTGTGGCCAAAAATTCTAATCTGTCCCTGTCACCCTCCTGCTCCAGAACCCTCAGTGGCTCCCTACTGCCCTCAGAACCAAGTCCCTGACACACAGGTCCTCTGATAGGCAAGACCACTCTGCTTGCCCCCCCAACCCCATCTCCTCCACACAGTATGCTCCAATCAGACCAAATCGTCTGCCTTTCCCTAAACAGCCATGCTGTCTCCCACCTCTCTGCCCTTGGAAACCTTTCTTGTGCCTACAGGGCTGTAGCATGGTATATACTAAACTGCTTGGCTGTAACACTACCTGAAGAGGAAGAGCTTGTGAAACACAGGTATCAATGCTTAGGGCCACCTGTCGAATCAGAATCTCCAGGTGAGGAACCGGGCAGTCGGTATTGTTAACAAGTGCCTGGGGCGGTTGTTCTGACTTGGCAAACTGGAGAAGCACTCTTTTCATGTACCTTGTCTACTAATAGATTTCTGCTTAGCGGTCACCACCTCGGGGAAGTCCACCTGACACTCCTCCTTCCCATAGACTGGTGACAAGACAGCAGTTAGCATTTACCAAGCTCTTATTATATCCAGTAGTGTTCTAAGGACGGGGCATGTAGCAGTTCTTTTACTCCTTGGAAGGGATGCTCTTGTGATCTCTATCATAGTTAAAGTAATGGAAGGTCTCAGGAAGCACAGAGAAATTGAGCAAGTTTCCAAGAATCACACAGGTAGAAAGTGTCAAAGCGAGTTTAGAGCCTGGGAGCCTGCCTTCAGATCCCTCACTCTGTCACCTCCTGGGCCAGGTCACTCTTGGCAACAGCCTCATCATCCTGCGGGCTGAGGACTGGCTTACTTGCTAATTTCTTCCTCTCCTAGATCCTGAACTCCAGAGTAAAAGGCAGGCATTTACATCCGCAGGATCTAGCAAAGTTCTAGGTACACGGTATGAACTCAGTCAACATTCGTGGTGGAAAAAGGAGAAGGGATGACAGGAGGGGCCTGTGAGTGTGGAGAGATGCCCTGGGTCTTTGTTTGGGGATGCGAAAGAAGCAAGGAGAGGCAAAGGATGGGATCAAGTTAAAGAGAAGAAGGGGTCTCAGCTTTCCCAGAAGGATCATGTTGCCTTTTTATCCGGCAGGTGCAACCTGGCCCCAGTACAGGAGTACGCCCGGGATGTGGGGCTCAAGACAGACCTGGTAACCATGAACCCCTCCGTCATCCAGCGCGCCTTTGAGGACTTGGTCAATGCCACATGGCGGGAGAAGCTGCTGCAGCGGCTGCACAGCCTCAATGGCAGCATCCTGTGGATCCCTGCCTTCATGGCCCGGGGCGGCAAGGAGCGCGTCGAGTGGGTCAACGAGCTCATCCTGAAGCACCACGTCAACGTGCGCACTGCATACCCCTCGCTGCGCCTGCTGCACGCTGTTCGCGGGTAAGCTGACTCCCTACAGGCCAGCAGGACCGTCACTAAGTGTGGGAGATGCTTGGCAGGCAGCATCCCTTCCCCAGGTGCATTTCCATCCCAGTTCCACCACTCACTTGCCGGATGGCCTCAGCAAGTCACCTGCCCTTTCTGAGCCTCCATTCCTTGAGAGATGAGGGGGTTTAGCAAGTGGGTTTCATCTGGCATGCCAATTGTGACCAGTTGGTAGTGCCTGTCTTAAGAGCTGAGTTGAGAATTATCCTGGCTGTTGGGCTGTCTCGAGGCTCAGTGGGAACAGATGCCATGAATGTGGGAGGAGAGATGGTGGCTGGTAAGTCACATGCCATCCCAGGTGGGTGATTTTCAAGAAAATCAGGACCAGATGCACTTGACTTTACGTAATTCACCTTAATCTCTCTAAACTTTAGTTGCCTTTTCAGTGAAATAGGGGTGGGAATGGTAAGACAGGAGGATGTGAAGACTAAATGAGATAATGTATATGAAATGCCTAGTAAAATTTTGGCAGAAACACTTAATGTGGTACCAGTCATCACCATCTTTATGCCTCAGTGCAATATTCTCTAACTCTGCAGAGCACATCTTGTTGATTGGGCTGAGAGCTTCAAAGGAGTGCCCATAGGATATGTTTTTATCCACGAGGTCCTCTCTCTAAGATGGAGGGGAACTTCACCTAGGCAATATGAAAGAGACAGGGAGAGTTAAAGCAATGGAATCCACTCTCTTTAAGAAGAGTTTTGATGTAACTAATTAGGTAAGGATTCTCCTGGTTAGGTCTAGATTTCTAATTCCAGAAAAGAAAGTCCAAGAATTAAGGCAAACAAACAGAAAATGTTGAGGAGGGTCTGAACTATTCCTATCAAGAAGTCCATGTCAACCCAGATGGCATTCTTAAACAACCCCAGTCAAAAAAAAATAGTAGTTCCCAATCTCTTCCTTGTTTCCTCCCATTTACGTGACCTGGCGTAGATCTCTCTGGCACTTGGATCAGTAAACTGGCTAGGAATTTGCTAGGGTCCATCATAGCGGCCACAAGAAAAATAGTTTAATATTAATCATTAATCCCTTCCAGTTATCTGTCACAGTAAAAATCATCTAACAACTTAGTGGCTTAAAAAATCATTTTATATTTTTTACAGTTTTTATTGGCTAAGAATTTGAGAAGGTCTAACCTGGATGGTTCTTAAATCAGGTGCAGTCAGATTGGCTAGAAGTAAAACAGCAGGGGTCTGAAGCAGCTGGGGTTGACCATGTGTCTCTTTCTCTTTATGTTATCTTAGGGTTTCTCCAAGTGATCTCTCTACATGGGCTAGATTGGGCTTCCTCACAGCATGGTAGCCTTGGAGTGGTCAGACTGTGTACATGGTGGCCCAGGCTCTAGCACAAGTGACCCAGAGATGAAGGTAGAAGCTGCACCACATTTTAAGACCACATAGTGTCACTTCTATTATCATCTACTAGCCATCTAGTCATTGTATCGGCCTAGAATCAAGGAGAGTAGACATAGACCCTGACTCTCAATGGGAAAGTGCCAGTTTTTGGACATGTTTTAAACACCTACACACATTCATTCCGCATGTATTTACTGAGTGCTTACTATGTGCCAGGCTCCGTTCTAGACACTAAGATACAGCAGTGAATAAAGTCCCAGATCTCATTAATAATTAAGTTTTCTTACAGGGAAAGATCATTTATAGGTAAACAAATAAATAAGATACTTTTAAACAGTGCTATCAGGAAAGTCTTCTCTGGAAAGAAGAAGCTGGTTTGAGCTAAGTCTCAAGGGACAGAAAGGCACCACCCATGTGCAGATCTGGGCTAGAAACCTTCCAGGTGGAGGGAACCTTAAGTGCAAAGGCCTTGAGGTGGGAGGGTGTGTTCAAGATTCAACCAAGAGACAAGTGTGGTTGAAGCAGAGTGAGCAGGGAGAAGGGGTAAGGAAATGATGCTGGTGAGAGAGGCAGGGACTAGAATGCACGTATCTTTGTGGGCCATGGTAAGGAGTTTGGATTTGGTTCTGAGTTTGAGGGGCAGTGAAGGAGCTGAGGTAGAAGATATGAGTTGTGTCTTTAAAAGATCCCTCCAGCAAGAATGAAATCTGGAATATTTGTTAGGAAGCTGTTGCAATAGCTCTGGTAGAAAATAAGGCTGGCTTAGACTAGGATTATGGCATGGGAGATCTAAGAGTTGGTCAGATTTGCTATAAAATTCAGAGGTAAAGGCAGCAGGATTTGCTAGTGGATTCTATTTAAGGACCGTAATGGGGGAGAGAAAGAGAAAAATCCAGAATGACTCTTAGGATTACAGTTTAAGCAAACAAGCTCAATATGGGGGTGCCATGTTCTGTGATAGAAGAGCTTAGAGAAGCCCATGCATGTTTGGGGGTGCTATGGAAGGGAGTTCTTTCTTGAACATATGAAGTGTGAGATGCCTGTTAGAAATATATACCCCACCACACTCCTGACCTCCCAGCTTGGGGTCAGGCCCTACACCCAATTGCCCATCCAACCACATGGCAGATCACCAGGAACACGAGAGAGCCCAGTGTACAGACTCCACACTGACTGAGGGCATCAGGATGCTCCTCACTGGGGCCTTAGCATAACTTGCTGTGACACTGGGAAGCCCTCTGAGCCACCCACAAAGGACTCTTGTCCTCATGAAAGTCACTGTGGTCACCCAAGCCTGTGACCAACACTGGTCTCACTAAGATAGGTATCAACAGGGAAAACTCATTGCCCCCAAAAAAGCCCTAGAGAGATATTCCATAAGGGGCAGCCACAGGTGTGTCTGATGAAGCCAGAATGATACCCATATGGACACGGGACTCAATGGGACTACATCCTTTATCCTGGAGGTTGGCCTGTGAAGGCCATCTTTTCACTTCATGCTTGTCAGAGTAGGTCTGCAGTGGCAACCCTCACCTCATGGACTGGTTAAATATTAAATATTGTTTCTTCCTACACGGAGGAAACTCTTGAGATGGTTCTGGAGTCCTTGGGGATAAGAGGAGAAACACTGCCCTTTGTTAAGGAGAGAAAAAGTCCTCTGAATGGGGAATGGGCAGCCACCTGGAAGACACTGATGCAGCCAGAGCTATTTCCAGCTATAATTGACTCACTTTCATCTGTCAAAATAGCACTAAGCACCAGTAATAAGCCCTTTAAACAAACAGGCTCTTCATCCTGAAACTGCAACATCTTCAGTTGCAGGAACTCCCGGAAGAGGTGGGTGAGGTTAGCCTCTGCTTTTAGCAGTGGAGAAGAAGAGGACAAGGGGGGCTTGGAAAGGATTTCTGCCAAGGATTCTGTCCCTCCATCAGGCCACTGGACCTTGTAGAGTGCTGGGCCTAATAGAGCACCGTTGAGAAGGTAGGGAGCGCATGTCGTTAGCCCCTGCCTTGGTGGGACCTTACCTGGTGTTCACTGCAAGTCAGGGATGCTCTGGGGAGGAATTCAGTACAAAGCCACACAAGAAAAGACCAAGGGATTGTAGAGAGGAAGGCTGAGGAGAAATCTGGCCAAGAGGCATTGTAGCCTAGCATCAAAAACATGGGCTTTGGCGGTAGCGACACCTCCAAAGGGTCCAGATCCCAGCTCCGTGACTGGCTTGGTTGTATCACCTACCATCCCCAGAGCCCTGCAGGGGACACATGTAGTCCATCACTCGTGGCTACTGTGATGGTGTCAGCTGCCACTTGGAGAGCTACAATTTGGGAAAGGGATTAGACTTGTCCTGTGTACTTAAGAGTTCCAGGGGCTGGAGCCACAAGGAGGAAATGCAATTAGACTGAATTTAAGAAAGGACTCTGTAGTAGTCAGAGCAGTGGACTAAGTCAAACCAGTCACTCATGAGTTCTTCACCTTGAAGTCCCAATAATGGACTGCAGTTTGCAAAATAATCTTCTTTCCTTATTTTAAGATGTGTTGCCCAATAAACCACCTATTTATGGAGTATGTGGGAGGTGGGAATAAATTTTATTGTAATAAAATACACATAACATAAAATTTACCATTTTAATGATTTTGTTTTCTTTTTCAACTTTTATTTTAGATTCAGGGGGTGCCTCTGTAAGTTTGTTACCTGGGTATACTGCATGATGATGAGGTTTATGGTACAAATGATCCACCACCCAGGTACTGAGCTTAGTACCCAACAATTTTTCAACCCTTTCCCCATTCCCTTCTTCCCCAATATCTATTGTTGCCATCTTGATGTCCATGAATACCCAACATTTCGCTCCTACTTATAAGTGAGAATATGTGGCATTTGATTTTCTATTCCTGTGTTAATTCACTTAGGATAGCAGTCTCTAGCTGAGTCCATGGTATATTCCGTGGTGTACATGTACCACATTTCCTTTATCCAGTCCACCATCGCTGGGCACCTAGGTTGATTCCATGTCTTTGCTATTGTGAATAGTGCTGCTATGAACATGCCAACGCATGTGTCTTTTTGGTAGAATGATTTGTTTTCTTTTGGATACTTAACCACTAATGGGATTGCTGGGTGTAATGGTAGTTCTACATTCTTTACAAAATCTCCAAACTGCTTTTCACAGTGACTGAACCAATTTACAATCTCACCAATAATATATAAGCATATTCTTTTCTCTACAACCCCACCAACTTCTGTTGTTTGACTTTTTAATAATAGTCATTCTGACTGGTGTAAGATGGTATGTCACTGTGGTTTTGATTTGCATTTCTCTGATGACTCACGATGATCAGCATTTTTTCATGTACTTCTTGGCCACTTATTTGTCTGCTTTTGAGAATTTCTTAATGGGGTTGTTTTTTGCTTGTTGAGTTATTTAAGTTTCCTGTGGATTCTGGATACTAGACCTTTGTCCGATGCATAGTTTGTGAATATTTTCCCCATTCTGTAGGTTGCGTGCATTTTAACCATTATTAACTGTACATTTCACTTAGAAGAAATTCAATCCAAGAAGAAAACTTAGGAGAAATTTTTCATCACCTTGTGTTTGGCAA